AAGCTCAAATGGCTTCTGAGGCCATGGTCAAGGTTGGACCCTCGTAGCGTATATTGAGCCACAAATAACCACACAACAGTCCAACAAAGGCACTTTGTTAATGGCAGTCAAAGTATTACAATCCTTTACTTAAGAACATCTGAAGAGAAAATATCGCCCTACAACATTGTTAGCAACATGGCTACCGCTAGCAGCCTTGGTAATGTTACTTTTCAGAGCAAAACAAACTACTGTAGGAATACCGAAGAACTACAAATACAGATCTCAGTGGTATGATAGGGGAAGAGTAAATGGTTTCGTTTCTTAGTAATCTAGCATGGTAAAACTAACTTGTTGTATCACTCTCCATCTTTGTTTTTCTTTGTCTTTTCATCAACAGAGCTCTTTTGCTTGTTCACCTATAGTGAATAGCTTCAGATACTTCCAAACTGGTACAATTGGAGCTAAAACGGTCTAGTATAGTAGTCCTTATAAAACTAACTTTATACGTGTGCCTCATGTACCGGCAGGCTGAGTGTTAGCCATGAGCAAGTCCCAGCATGCATTGTGTGGGACGCAGGGTACGCACTAGACAGGTAATAGAGCTAGCACAAACATTTATATCAAAAGTCTTTGACCTAAGGGGGACAACCTGGACAAATGTAGGGTTTAAGGAGCTTATAAACATAATAACTTAAGGAGAGTAAAACACCTACTAATGTTGAGAACTGCATGCCTAGATTTCTCAGGAAAAACTAAAAGAGGATTTTTCTCTGAAGTAAAGAAAATGAAACTGATAAGACACACTCACGCTGACATGCAGTACATACCCACACACACACAATCAGATACACACACACCCACATGGAACTTTCAGATACCATCGCCTTAAGGGAAACAAAAAGACATAAATCTGAATCATTGAGTTGAAATAGACATTCATTGTGTGGATGTTTCACCACATGACAGGGTGTTGATAAAACATGTGGATAAAGAATGATGACATGGATGAAGAAATAAGTCTTTTGGCTGTTTCACAGAAGAGTATTGTGGGGGAAACTTCTGAAGCAATTGGAGTCAGGACTCAGAGAGACACGAGGAGAGCTGGAGCTTTGATGGCAAACACTGACGGTGTATTCAGAGTTATAGTCGGAGAATTCACAAGACAGGTGGTGTGTTACGAGTTGACAGCGGTTGCCAAACCAATTCTGAAGAACCCTTCTGCAGCTCGAGGTTTTAACTAGTTCGGAGTGTAATAATCAACATTCTTCATCAGTGAGACTAAAGCAATATGGACCCTGAATCTAACTAGAGCTCTCGTCCATAGAAAATAATGTGCGCCTTCGTCCCTGAACAGTAAACTACCTCATGGCGGCTTGTGCTCCGTCATAGACTGGCAACAACAATGCGCCCAAACTGCTCCTCCTTAAGAGAGATAGCAGCAATACCCAAGGCCGTAGAACTATGCCATGAGAAAAGAGACAGTGAGAGGAGAAAATGATGAACTGTGTCAAAGGTTGAATACCTAAGCAAATTATTCTCTAACAAGTATGTATGCACACAAAGGTACACACTAGCAGAAAGGATTAGCAGATGGATTTACAGAGAAGTTACTGCCAACGTACTTTTCTCTTTAAGCAAACAAAGTAGTTTCAGCTTCTCAGTGTGTGGATTATCTGTTTTAGAGTCTGCTAAACTAAACGTGTTTGGACTGTGATATATCTTTTTCGATATATATTTATATTGAAAAACATTCCTAACCTAGACACCATTGGTGCCTGCATTGGCCTTTAAATATTAAATCACGTACTAATGTGAACTTAAAGATTGAATTATATTTTATCCGTAGGTCTGTCCATGACTGTTAGGCAATAAGAAAATCAACTTTAAGCCAATATAAAGAGTCTACAATGTGCGTGATGTTATCTTTTATATTTGCTGTGGATAGTAGACTGGCTGCAGCATGTATGATTTGGAGGTGTGAACAGGCTTTAACACTCAAGATGGCAAACAGTGAGCTGCATTAATCACTGTTGGGAAAGATAAGGCATGAATAGCTTTGCACAAGTAAGAGAATTGGGAAAAAACATTAATTTTTAAGCAAACAGCACCAGACTACCTTTATCCTGCCAACTTTCTATAGCATAGATTAGAGTCAAATATAGGCTTAAAATAGGTTGTCAGTTTTCAAATGTCCTTATAAACGTGAGTTCAGGGAGCAGATGTATACTTTATATACATTTTAGCAAGAAAACAATAGTGTGGACAAAATAAAGGGGACCTAGGACAGAGCCTTGAGGTATTCCACAGCTTAAGTTACAGACTGACCCTTAACAACAATGAGGTTTCTGTTTTAGAGATAAGATATGGGGTTAACATCTATCCAGATCACCATGTTTGTGCAGGATGTATAGACAGTAATAAGAGAAAAAGGCTGTGGAAGATCAGAAAACTAAATATGTTCTTGCATGAGGCCCCACTGTTTCTGAACATGTTAAACGTATGAGTCATCCTGAACTGAATGAAAAGAACAGAATAGGCAAGCCTGGTTTTGCCAGTTGGAAAGTGAAGTGAGATTCAGAGTGACCAGGATGAGTAAACCAGGGCGTTCATTTTTTGCACAATCTGTAAACACGAGGCAGTTTTATACACGTTTTCCGACTGTCTACACGTGGCGCAATTATCTGTTGAACTGTACAAACCTATTGATATTCCTATTGGGAGGCGCTACAGGTCACTGTCCACCAAAACCACCCGCTTCAAAAACAGCTTTTTCCCCTTTGCAATACGGACACTAAATGGACTCTAAATAACCCCAATGAACAATAACAATCCACCACACCTTGAACTTTATGTTATATGTCTTTGCCCTGTGCTGTGTGTTGTACTTTTTATTGTCTGTTTATTGTATGTTGAATTGTATGGAACAAGCTGTAATACTCTGCACTGAACACGAATTCCACCAGCCTGGCTGTGTGGTCATTAAAGATTCTAATCTAATCTAATCTAATATTCAATCTTAGAAGTTGCATTGACACTTAACTCTATTTTGTGAATCAAAAGCCAATTGGATATCCTTGAAACTGTTGCACATTTCAACTCAGTGGTGGTCGGTCCCTAAGATACATTCAATGAGCAACAGAAAGAAGAACACTAGTTCAGACACATGCCTTCAGGGAACAGTGGACAGTTTGCCTACAAGTCAATACAACATTTCTCCTCCGGGCACTTAATAATTGTACAGCTGTGCACTGACCACAGAATGATTCAACCACTGACAAAGTGGTGCGTCAAAGACAAAGTCAGACTGTTTGCGTGAAAATTGTTGGCACACTCCTAAATTGTCTCTCTTACTGCTCTCTTGTATTGTTCTCACTTCATATTTTACAGTCCGTTTGTCTTTTGTGTCGCTGTACCCTGCTGCAACAACTGAACTTCCCCCAAAGGGATTCATAAAGTTTCCGCTTATCTATTTATGACCATAGAACGATCTGTTTCTATTTGCACATTCATTCATTTGTTTCTCTCTGCAGCTTTTGTCGCATGAGTAAATCTCTAAAATCCAGGTCTGAGGCTTCTGGGAAACCCACAGGTTTCATGTTACAGAAGGGAATCACATCGAAACCAGCCTTCCCCCATTCTGCAAACCCCCTCCTTCCTCCTATTGCATCCTCTGAAAAGAGACTGAAGAGCAGGAGTAACTGGTTTGGCCTTTTGCTTTAACAGCACTTCTTCCCTCTTTTTTTCCTCCTTCCTTCATCCTCCCCGCCTCCCTCCCTTCTTTGTTCTACCTCTCTTGGGATCACAGAGGACAGGTATGAGCATGTATAAACACAACGGACAGAAAACAAAAACTCTTGAGCAAACCAAATGTTGCTTCTTTGATGTTTTTCCTCTTCATTGTGTTCTTTACCTCTATTATAGTAACTGGGTGTATCGAAACTGGCGTGGGGACAAAATATGCAGTATAAAAATAAACAAGCTGAAGCCAAATTAGTTAAATGGTCACGTTGGAAAGCTTGTGAGTTAACCGTCGCTAGTTTGCATATGTGGACAGAAAAGCTAAATAAATAGAACAAATGTGTACATTTGTGCAAAAACACAACTGGATGAGGACCCCACAAAATACACACACTTTGGACAAAAGTTTCATGAAGTTGCATTGTGCACAAGAATGCTTGTTTTTCCTCTCCATATAATAGAGTAAAGTTGTATTTTTTACTATTTTATATCAGACAGACATCTGTCAGTGACTAATTCTCTTAACGGCAAAACCAGTCAGCTGTTAGCACTGCTGGGCAGTGGCGTAACTTTCGACGGTGCAGCCGCTGCAACGCACTGTGGCCCAGAGCCGGCCATTTTTGTTGTTGTTGTGGGGCCCCAATGGCATTGACCGTTTTGCGCAGTCTTCAAAGTAACCAAGCAACCTAAATTAATTTGTAATTTGTCTGTCCAATGACCTTGCTCCCTTTCATGTCATGTGATACCTTGCGTGACGAGCGAACCATTTAATCAACCTGTACTGTAGCTAGCAGCAGCAAGTTCGGCAGCATTATAAAAAATGTCATAGCTTGCATTTATAATGTCCAGCAAACCAAAGCAGTGCTCAAAAGAGAAAGGACAAGAGAGAGTGTGTCCGTGCGTGTGTGAGCGCATCAGCGTGCACTTATGTTTGGGGTGATAGGGGCCCCAAAACAACATTTGCACCGGGGCCAATCACAACCTTGTTGCGCCACTGCTGTTGGGGTAGGTGAGTACAAATACAAATCTGCCAGATTATCCCCTACTGTGTTTAATGAAGCTTTGTGCTAATTCATGCATAACGCTGAAGGAGCATCTGCAGCAAGTTATTGGCATTAGCTGCTTCAATTTCTGCTTCAAAGTCAGTGGCTTATTACAATTTGCTAAAAATGGTCACTTTCCTCTAGTGTCTTTGACTGAACTGCATGTAGATAAAGACCGTGATGTGCAATGTGATGTCATCTTGTGTCAGTTAAATCCACAGAGGAGTGTTTTCTTACCTGTGTGCGTCCTTTGGTGAGCCTTCAGATGGGAGCTCTTTGTGTAAACTTTGGTGCAGCCTGAAAATAAATCACAGAGAGAGTTAGATGGATGAGCCCGGCTGACTGCGGAACATGTGCTCACCTGACGCTAAGTTTAACCTTGCCATAAAGCGGTTAACAAGCAGAAAAAGTGCTGTCTTTTGAGATGTTTTTCACCTGTGACGCAGTGGAAATGGTACTTAACACAGGACAATCACATGTTGAGAAACGAACCCAGAAGGACCATTTCAAAAATTGCCCTCCAGGCTGAATAAAAGACTCAATGTTTTTCCAGTGGGTTTTAAAGAATGTTGGCAACCCAGTTATTGTTTGTTTGATATTAAAGAGAGGCATTGTGTTACTGAAAGATTTGCATATGTGTTTTTGCTTTGGCAGTTGAGATTATTTACACACCATTGGTTGAAAGCAATCCGAACCAACTTGCTGAAGTGGTAGTGTTGTGACTTGCTTTCATTAGTTTCATTTTTTGTGTGAAGTGAGCCTTTAAAAAGTCCAGGAATTCGTGCAGGGCTCGTTGAAAAAAGGCTGGTTTAGAATCTTCACTTTTAACTTGCAAAAGAAAAGAAAGAGGGGCTGCTGATCCCCTAAAATACATCATGTAAATATAAGTATACTGCCAGATATCTCACATTTGTAGACAACTGGTAGAATGACCTGGTTGCTAATTACATGCTTAGAAAAATATGTTTTCTTGCCCCCAAGGGACATATACTATCTCACTCCATAAAATGTATTTATTTATTTGTTTATTCCACACATGGCAATTATTTTAAAACAAAACATGTACACTTATACTGTTTTTTTTATAGCGCATGGTGAAAAATAGGGACAATTGTGTTAGTGAACATTTCTTTTGGACTAAAACCGACCTTGGAAGTCACAGAAGTGGATCCTCCTCTTCTCCAGCTCCGGGTTGTTCCGCCTGTTGTATTTGGGGCCCGTCAGGACCCCCTGGCCGTGTGTCATCAGCATGGCGTGTGGAGACAGCCCCGTCACCTTCATCCCTCCCAGGCGCTGCTGGTAGGCCAGGTGGAACTGCGGCGCTAAACTGAGCAGCTCCGCCTGATTGTCTGGACTCCCCGGCTGAGAGTTGGGGGGGGACGGGGGCAGGCTGTGTGGCGCTGTGTGTGACGGAGAGGCTTGGTAATAACCATGATGCTGCTGTACCTGGTGCTCGGCCATCATGTAGTTGCCGTTGTTTGTCTGCAATGCGACGTTGCCAAGGTTCAGCATGGTCCTGCCGCTCACTGAGGCGTGTGTTGACGGGCTGCTGTGGGACAGAGTCATGGTGAGGTCCCCACAGCCGGATAAAGGCATGCTGTAGACCTGCGACTGAGGGGCCGGGGGGCCGATGTGGAGCTCCGTGTCCATATTTTGCTGGTGCTGGTGCTGTTGCTGGTGCTGTTGCTGTTGCTGGTGCTGGTGCTGGTGCTGGTGGTGTTGCTGGTGCGACGACGTGGACACATTCACTAACCCTGAGCTCATGTCTGGTTTGATGAAGACGTTGTTGACGACAGGCGGCACGCTGAACACGGAGGTGAAGTCGGGCAGGGCCTGGGTGCTGGAGGAGGTGATGGAGCAGGGCACCTCCAGCCCGGGCTCTGTCTTGATCTGCTGCACCGACAGAGTCTTGTTGTTGGGCCGGTAGAGGCCTGTGCGGAGGTGGGTGGTGTTGGGGAGGATGACGTTGATGTTGAGGCTGTAAGGGGTCACACTTTTGTCGTCCGAGAAGAACTCGTCGACCAATGAGGCGCTGCCTCGTCGGTGCTTCCTCTCCACGGTGTCGATCAGGTTACTCAGCAGAGGACCGTTGACCTCCGGCAGGTATTTGTCCAACTCTAATCGAATCTGAGAGGAAACAGAAGACAGAGAAACATTAAAGGAGGAGTTCAACATGTGTAGCAAAACTGCAACTCACTACAACCCTCGGGTGGATACCTGGTTTTATAAGTAGTTATTTTATACAACCTTCTCTTCACTAAGTCATTCTCCCAGATTTCTTTGCATGCATATGCTTTACACCTGAGAATGTACCTGTCAGAAAGCGAGCCCACCGCCATTTAAACAGAACAATCCTAGCAAACTAGTTTAAGAACACTGAGGTGCGTCCAAGAACTGGAATCAAGAGAAAACAATCTGTGTGACTAAGAAGGGTCATTTACACGGAACCCTACCAAAAATGTTAAACTTGAGACAATAGAATTTGGAACTTCTTTCTATAAATGCGGACACAAAAATGATCAGACAAATTCAAACAACTGTATAAAATGCTGCACCAGAGTTTGTGGGTTTGTATCTCTTCGAAAGCATTTCCTGTTAAAATCCTGGATATCATGCTGGGTAAAACAAATGGGGCGAAGCCTGCGAGCTAGTTCAGGCAGTCAACTCGAGCACCAATGATACATTAATACGTGACGCACCTCGTCCCTCTTACAACCAACCAAACACATTGTCCTAAACATGCCGCTCTATTTAAGCTGCCAGGTCTTCCTGCCTCTGCTGCGTTAACTTGCTATTGCTATGTTCATGCTCCTGCTGCTGTGTTTCATGTTGTTGCTGCTTGCCTGCCCCACCACCACCCCAGCTTCCACCTCCCACCCAGCTTCCACCTCCCACCCAGCTTCCACCTCCCACCCAGCTTCCACCCCAGCTTCCACCTCCCACCCAGCTTCCACCCCAGCTTCCACCTCCCACCCTAGCTTCCACCTCCCACCCAGCACCCAGCTTCCACCCCAGCATCCACCCCAGCTTCCACCTCCCACCCCAGCTTCCACCCCAGCTTCCACCTCCCACCCAGCTTCCACCCCAGCTTCCACCCCAGCTTCCACCTGTAGGCTCGGGGGATAGTTATCTAATCATCACTCAATGTTCTTTGTAAATCTGTGGAGTGATGAGGCCCGAGCCTAGACGCCAAACTCAAACTATATGCTGCTTCTAATACGCATATAAGAAACACGTGAGTTGTCTGACTGAAATAAAGGCTTCCTTAAAACTCTGTGGAATCATTCACTACGGCTCCTATGTGGTGCGGTATTTGTTTAGGATCAACACTGTTTAACTGATGTAATTATTTTTGAGAGATGAATGAGCTGCAGATGGTGATAAGGAGGCTTTGACATGGCTCAGTTCCACCCAGTCCAGTAATCTATAGATACACAGTATAGGTGAAGAGGAGGAAGTAGTAGAGGAATTACAAAAGAATAAACACTTTTAAGAAACGATAAAGAAAATGTTAAGAAAAGCTGATACCAAGACTTCCTCCTCCTTTCTTCACATGCTTGTTTCTCAGTCCAGTTTTGACTAACAAATCAGTTCAGAATGGGGTTCATTTGCAAAGAGACCAAAACACATTAACACGTTTTATTTTGTGTTTCACTCAACTCATAGATTTAAAAGATCAATAAACAGTCCGGTAGCTGCCGACTAGGTTATAAAACCGATTTGTGTTCTTCACATAAACACACTATTATCTAACAGTCTCACTATTACCCCCAAACATTTCGGTATTCATGTTAAAGGTGACTCCAGCTATTTCTGTACACCACATACAACTGAACAATACAAAAAGCTAAATCTGAAGACAGCTGTTGTTGTTTAATGATGTTTCTGGGGAGATGCAACTGTCAATGATCAGATCTGCTTTTGTTACATGTGATAAAGGTGTGGAAACACTGCATTTGTGGATATACAGAGATAAGTTTCTTTAAGCAACAAGTCTAGACAGGTTGAGGAGGGTATGGGGAAATAGATAGCAGGTATTTAAGGTATTATCTGATCTTAATCCTGATTAACTAGTGAGAGTGTGTGTGTGTGTGTGTGTGTGTGTGTGTGTGTGTGTGTCATTCAGAGTCTATGAAGCGAGCATCTCTCCCTTAGAGGTGCACAAACCGTTAAATTAAGGATCTCTTCTGCAGACCACACACATTAACACACACCCACACAAGTAGGCAATCTTACGAACGCACACTCAACTGCACACAAGAACACAAACAGAGTTCCCTCCATGGGTGTGGCAGATGGAGGTGATTTGAAGCGTGAAAAAAGCAACCAGTCAAACCAAAACAAAAGGCTGAAGGCATGACAACGACGCAGCGAAACTTAAACACTGTCGGGTAAAAATAGACCTGCCAGACAACTGTGATCCTCCGTGTGCCAGCTGATACACGGCACTGAAGACATCATGAGGAAATGGAGGGAGAGCAAAGGAAGAAAGATGGCAGCTACTAATGAAACTGGGGCTCATGTGTGAATGCAGCGGATAATGTGATCGGGAGTTGGTCGATAAAGGCCCTGTCACACTGTCCCGAAATTGACACCCGATGGACACACGAATATGGAATTGTGAATTTCGCACGATGATGGCCGCGAACCACACACGAAGGCAACATTTACATTACATTTAAGACATACAACTGCAATGAAAGTACCAAAAACAATTGTGTTACAGTAGTATGATACTGTACTGATATCTTCAGACTTTGTTCTTTACTTTATCCGTCGTTATATGTAGAAAATATTACGTTTTCTCCGTAATGTTGTTTCCATAACAACAACAACTTCCTGTCAACTGTCCTTCAAAATAATATATTATATCCTTTTTAGTTTCACAGAACACAAATTGGGTTATTTACATAATATATTTACATGATTTTGTTGTGCAATAAAACAACCCGATGGACACACGATAAAGGAAATGTTCAAATTCGGCTGTGATCGTAACAACATCGGGCCATTCGTGAGGGCATCTTAAGCCTTCGTATGACCGCCGGTGGAGTTTCTCAGGCTCCGGCAGCAACTTCGTGAGCGGTGGCAACATCTTTGGCATGCCTTAAAATTTCCGAAGGACCTTGCGAAGGTTCATTTTCGTGTTGAATTCGTGTGTCAATTGTGCCCTTCGTAAGGCCATCGTGAGGGCATCTTGTTATCATCGGTGCCATCGGGCATTCGCCCCGATCAGAGTGAGGGTGAATGCACCGATGATAACACGAAGATGACACGATTTGACAAGATGCCCTCACGAGTGCCTTACGAAGTTGCCGCTCACGAAGTTGCTGCCGGAGCCTGAGAAACTCCACCGGCGGTCATACGATGGCTTGAGATGCCCTCACGAATGGCCCGATGTTGCTACGATCACAGCCGAATTTGAACATTTCCTTTATCGTGTGTCCATCGGGTGTCAATTTCGGGACAGTGTGACAGGGCCTTTAGGAAGGAACATTTGATGCTCCTCCCGTCATGAAACTTATCATTTTGCATGTCAGTTGTGTACAATGCATGTTTGATACAGGGCTTACTTGTTGCTACTTTTAGACCACTGTTGCAAAAACCTATTTTTTACCTTGCTAAATTAACAGAATAGTTATCAAAAGAACTACAAACAAATGGTATTGCTTATTACTGAAAATGATCTTAATGATTAGATTGTGTTAGTTCTTGATACAAAGGAAGTGTGTAAGTACAAATATGTATGCAACTGTATGTATGATACATGTTCTATAACAATACAACGTTCTTATTGTATTTTTTATAAATCAGCTGGTGTCATGAGCAACACCCAAAACCTCAAAATTATTAAATGATGCTGATTTTGAAGTAGGCAAATAATTAAATCAATTTAAAACCCACTGACCTGAGCGACCCTTAATTAAGAAGCAGATTGTGTTTCTAAGTTATCTGACCATCAAGAAACCCTAACACAGAGTGAACAGTGGAGTCCTGATTTTGGGACAAATGACCCGCAGAGGTGCTGAAGTGTTCGAGGACGAGTCGAGCAGCAGAGAGTTCCTGTTTCAACACCTCATTGTGCAGCGCAGCTCCAAGTGCCAGCACCGTCAACACACACTCGAAACACATCCCTCCAGTAATAATCTGCTGATACATTTCCATACACACACACCTTGGAAGGTTATTGCTCTTTGCATATGTGAATGTGTTTTTTTTTCATGCGTGCGTTCAAATACTGTGTGTATTTTTGGACATGTCATGTGGTTTAATTGTTAGCTCAATACTTTCACTTTAGGTGCCTTTTAGAGTTTGAATGTAATATCAATGTTAGTCAATGTGTACCGTTTTAAACAGATATAATATTTTCAGTCAATATTTGCAAAAGGTCTAGTTGTTGCACAAAGGACAGAAGTTTTCTAGGCTTGATGCAAACTTCTGTTTTTCAGTGTTCAGTAAAAACAGCATAGATTGCACTTTTTCTTCGGGTGTTGGTGTATCTATGTAAGTGTCTATGTCACATGATGTGTGTTTTTATTCAGTTTTGCCGCAGGGTTAATAGATGTCCATCATATTTTGTCTCCGGTGAACTCACACCACCTTGTCATCAGTGCAATCTGAGCACTCGCTGGAAATAAAGTCCTGGGTATTTACCGAGGGGGAAAAAGAAAACAAAAACAGCCTCTCTGTTCCCTCGCTCTGAGGCTCCTGTGTTCCTCTCACAAACAGCCCTGTGTCGCTGTGACCCTGCGCTGCCCTTGGTCATCTAGCTTTCTGTGGATCACTGCTACTGTCAACCTCTGCTCTCCGACTGCCCGCTTCCTTTCTCGCCATTGTCATATTTGGCAATTGTTTGCGCTGTAAAGATGATATTATGCAAAGAAAGGTTGATGCTGAGAGCCGTGTGCAAAAGTTAGGCTTTTTACACTTTTATAAGTTTACACCTCAAATAAACGTGTCAACATCTTCGTTTATGTGTCTGCATGCAGGTCGGAGATATGCTAAAGGTATAACAAGGTATGTGAAATAAAATCATTAGAACATCTTGAAAGATTGATGCTCTTATTGTTGTTTTCTTTTGCATTTTTTAAGTCTTGAACAGAACGTTTGTTCAGGAACCCTTCCCT